CTACCCACCATCACTCCCCACCATCACTCCCCACCATCACTCCCCTCCATCACTCCTCACTCCCCACCATCACTTCCCACCATCACTCCCCACCATCACTCCCCACCATCACTCCTCACTCCCCACCATCACTCCCCACCATCACTTCCCACCATCACTCCCCACTCCCCACCATCACTCCTCACTATCACTCCTCACTCCCCACCATCACTCCCCACCATCACTCCCCACTCCCCACTTTCACTCCTCACTCCCCACCATCACTCCCCACCATCATTCCCCACTCCCCACCATCACTCCCCACCATCACTCCCCACCCTCACTCCCCACCATCACCCCCCACCATCACTCCCCACCATCACTCCTCACTCCCCACCATCACTCCCCACCATCATGCCTCACTCCCCACCATCACTCCCCACCATCACTCCCCACTATCACTCCCCACTATCACTCCCCACTCCCCATCATTACTCCCCATCATCACTCCTCACTCCCCACCATCACTCCCCACCATCACTCCCCACCATCACTCCCCACCATTACTCCCCACCATTACTCCCCACCATTACTGCCAACCATCACTCCTCACTCCCCACCATCACTCCCCACCATCACTCCCCACCATCACTCCTCACTCCCCACCATCACTCCCCATTTTCACTCCCCACTCCCCACCATCACTCCTCACTCCCCACCATCACGCCTCACTCCCCACCATCACTCCCCACCATCACTCCCCACTATCACTCCCCACCATCACTCCCCACCATCACTCCTCACTATCACGTCTCACTCCCCACCATCACTCCCCACCATCACTCCTCACTCCCCACCATCACTCCTCACTCCCCACCATCACTCCCCACCATCACTCTTCACTCCCCACCATCACTCCCCACCATCACTCCCCTCCATCACTCCACACTCCCCACCATCACTCCCCACCATCACTGCCCACCATCACTCCCCACCATCACGCCTCACTCCCCACCATCACTCCCCACCATCACTCCTCACTCCCCACCATCACTCCTCACTCCCCACCATCACTCCTCACTCCCCACCATCACTCCCCACCATCACTCTTCACTCCCCACCATCACTCCCCACCATCACTGCCCACCATCACTCCCCACCATCACGCCTCACTCCCCACCATCACTCCCCACCATCACTCCTCACTCCCCACCATCACTCCTCACTCCCCACCATCACTCCCCACCATCACTCCTCACTCGCCACAATCACTCCCCACTATCACTCCTCACTCCCCACCATCACTCCTCACTCCCCACCATCACTCCCCACCATCACTCTCCACCATCACTCCCCACCATCACTCCCCACCATCACGCCTCACTCCCCACCATCACTCCCCACCATCACTCCCCACCATCACTCCTCACTCCCCACCATCACTCCCCACCATCACTCCCCACCATCACTCCCCACCATCACTCCCCACCATCACTCCCCACCATCACGCCTCACTCCCCACCCATCACTCTTCACGATCACTCCCCACCATCACTCCCCACCATCACTGCTTAACATCACTCACCACCGACATTTCCTCACTCCCCACCAAACGCTCCCCCATCCTCACTCCTTCCCACCACTCACCCACCCACCATAACGCCTCACCACCATAATTCCTTACTCCCTACTCAACCCCAACTTTCACTCCTCACCAACATCACTCCTCACCAACATCATACCCCACAGGGGCAGTAAGCACCATCGACTACTGACCACCATCCCACCTCACACAGGCACTCTCCTTCATCGGGTAGACCATCATCCAGCAGTGGATTGGCAAAGGGTTGTCTCTACAGTACCAGTGTGGTCCAAATGTCTTGTGACCGCCCAAATAATTGACCCGGAATAGTTTTTTCCTTTGCGTATTAATTCATGTTTTCAAACTCATTGGTATACAACAATACTACGTTTGAACATCGGGGTCACATGACATCTGGATCACCCTGGTGTGCTCTCTTTCTACTCGCTTCGATTAACACTTAATGGGGAAGTCAACAGTGCTTGTCACATGCAGAGAATTGCCCCAGCCATAGGAATGTGGAATGTCCAATACTGGTTTCAGGGCTTTAAACGGGATATGTGTACCCTCAGTGTTTATTTGAGCGGGACATCACTAGGGGCATTACGATGACTAAGGATTTGCGGGGTCAAACGTTCCGCTTTGTGTCGCATTAATCAGAGCCCCATCTGGCCTCGCGTTTGTGTCACGGCGCTTCTGATGTCTTTGTATGAGGTCTGAAATGGATTTGTGTTGAACCAGGACCCATGTCGAAGAGAGAACGTCCTTGCCAATAAACATCTGGCAGATCACCAAGCGCGCATGACTGCTGATGAGACACTTGAATGTCGAAACAGGTCCCGTGTTTGCCTGTGTTGGTCCGACGCTGCTGAAACTGCACTCTCCGAAGGCCGTGTGGCTGATGGCACGTGTAGAAAAGAGTTTAATATTTATTTTCTAACCCCAGGATTTGGGAATGAGGCGAATTTTCTGCTCATTTAAGATGTTTTATTTAGACTGGAGGAATCCGATGAAGTATGAAGCTCTTTTCCAAAGATGTTCAATTCGAGTGACGACTTTTCGCGGAGTGTCCTGGATTGTGATGTTTGGTCAAAACCACTGAGGTTGCATCTGGTTAATTATACAATTAACCCCTTTATTGTGGTTGCAGATTAACTCTGCTTGTAAAAAAGTAACACATCTAACATTCATTCCTATCATTCCCCATTACCACGTGCAATGGTTCACGTATTACCTTATAACTCGTGACCTATGACTACGCTTTAAAACCAACGGAACTTCACCCTCATTCTACATGTTAGTTTTACATACATTGTTATATCCCCACTTCCATATCGGAAATTATAGCCCAACTTACATATGCGAAATGTATTTACGTAATATTGATTTATGTTTGTGTGGTGTATCGACTTTGTTTTTGTTATAGAGTATCTGGGACAACGGCGGTTGTCCTATGGATAGATTCGCCTCCACCATAGGATTGTGGAATTTCCATCACTTGAATGGCTAAGGGATATAATCAGTAGATGAGCAGCGCCTCAATGCTTATTTTAGTAGGACATACCCTCGACGTTTTAAAATGAGGTGGATTGGTGGTGAGGTGGTTCGCTTGTAAATAAATGAGCACTGTATCTTAATTATTAATTATAGTTATATATTAATTACATCAGAACCCTTGAGTGGCAACATTCAACTGGACCAGTGCTGGATACAACTTTTTGTTTTTGCATATGATGACAGCAAAGATGTTCAGGAGCTAGATGCTTCATGAAAGAGCATTTTGTGGTTTTGCTATTCACTCTCTATTAACAGAGGAGCTCGGCATTTTCTCCAGGATATGGTCCATAGTTTGAACGGCATTGCCACAGTCGGACCACTGTGGCTTGTCTTTAATGTCTCCCTGTGTCTCTGTATCTCTTTGGATCTAATAGGTGTACTCTGTGGTCCATAAGTTGGGTTGCATGGTGACAATCGCACCACTGTGTCTTGTCTTTAATGTATCTTTGTGTCTCTGGATTTGTTTGAGTCTGTATGTATCTCTGAATCTATATGGGTTTACGGTATGGTCCAAAGGTTGGGTTGCATGGCTTGTTTTATTTTAATAAAAAAATATAATAAATTGGCGCAGCCTCTGGGCCACCTAGAGCTGCATCACACACACAAAAGGTGGCGCTCGAGACGTAGCTACGTGCACCGCTGCACCCTATTTATTATTTAACTTTTTACCTTTGAAAGCCACCGCTATGTCCGAAGATGCTTTTTTCAGGAGGGTCTTGCATTGGGTTATTTGACCAATACCAATTATATCCTGCACCTCCGATGAGCGCGGTTGGCTGCGTACAGTGCAGAAGAAGTTCAACATACATTCAGTACATCCTTTGTTTGTATCTTTGGGAAGAAACCAGAGAACCCAGCGGAAACCCATGCAGATCAGGGGCAGATAATACAGCAAGGTGCCCGAAAAAGTGTTGGCACTGTGCGCGCCACCCTGCACCGTAGCCCAGCCTCTTGCAGTCTTTCCTTCCGTGTTTGTGTTAATAGGTTTTTTTAGGCAAGTACGGTTTCAAAAACACATAGACACGTGATCAAAAAGTATTCCTCAGCCTTGTATGTTATGAAAAAAACCCATCAGCAATTCCTGAAGAACTGAATTGTGGTCCTCTTGTCATATGTAAACATCCATTTGAGCAAATGTGATGGAATACCAGGCAGCATCGAGACAGATAACTGTAGACTGGTTTTATCCTCATTAGGACTCATCAGCACAGTATAGTCACTAATGCTGGCTGCTGTAAAGTTTGCAAGAGATGACCAAAGACAAAAGGACCACAATGCATTTCTTCAATCCATCCAGCACCTGCATATAAACTGACCTCATCACTCCATCTACTCCACTAGAAAACTCTCGGATGCTTTACATTCCTAGGCTGCCACTCGATTATTATTTGTGATAATCGTTTTTTATTCTGTCTCGCAATTTTTTTTGCTGACATTGTTTGCCCCAGAAAACTAAGCATATGTTTGTGAGTGGAGTGATAGTGTTGTGGTTAGTGTGGTGGGCTTGATAGGTACTCGCTAACAGTACTTGCCCCAAAAGTTTATGGAGGGGATATTTGCCTTTGTTTATTTTTGGAGCAGTAGTGTAGTGATTAGTGCACTGTGCCATAAACCTGGCAAGACGAATTCAATTCCCGCTCATGGCCAACACCAATGACAAATTACCTGAACTGTCTTGGGGCTCCTCTAGGTCGACTCAGCCTCAAATTAGTACCTGGTGAAATGTTTAAGCATCGCTACTTGGGAGACAAAGGCGGTTGTGTGTAGTTCTGGCCACCCACCCCCTCGTGTACCGTTGCGGCCTTCATAGGTTCTCACTAACAGCACTTGCCCCAACAGTCTGTTAAGACTATACTGGGGATCTTTGTCTTTGGGGCAACAGATACAGCTATCGGCAGTGCAGCTGTCGGACCTGCACGGAGAGCTGCGTATGCTGGAGCGGCAGGAGCTCTCGGTGAAGCGGGACGGCCACGTGGAGGAGCAGCAGACAGAGCAGCTCAACCGCAACCTTTTGGGTACGAGAGTCACAGAGCCGTAAGGCCACTCGCTCTGCTTGGGCAAGCCTAGAAAGCAATCAGCGCCCAATTGACCAACAAAATCAATACGCAGACAAAATGCCTCCTTCGCATATTTGCATCGGTTCCATTTTCTCCATAGTATGTGATCCATATTTTATCGCAAGTCATCGGCACTGATTGAAAACTTTCTTCTTTAGGCATTAGTTTTTAATTGCTGATGTGAACAATTCGCCTCCTTCACATAGCTGTCTCTCCATATATTCCCTGAGCCACATAGCCTTCTGGGAGGGCATGTTTTTTGTAGCATTGGTGCAATATAAGCAAATTCTGGATCAGCTTTGACATTCATTTATTAATTAGCAGTCAGGCTTGCGTGAACCAATACTGGTGAACTGCCAAATCTTGTAGAAAAGGGCCCTCTTTGAAAGATTGGGTCCTCGTTTGATGCGAAATAATATAATACGTGACACAAATTATAGCGTTGTAGAGAACACAAGTATCAAAATAAATAAGAAGACATTACGCCTCCTTCATATACGTCTCTCCACATAAAATATATATTTGTCTGAACTACATATAAAAAACTTATCTTTTTGGCAGTTCTCTTGTCGATTACAGTTGGCTCTTGATTAGACATGGGTGGATTATCCGGGTTTTTGGATTAACTGGGCTCAAAAATAATAAATATATTTACACAAGTGCAACACTGGTTTTTTATATTGCTCAGTCTTTGATGTCAGTCACTGCCCATGGGACATTAAACACATCGGCAAATAAACGGATTACTTTAAGAAGCAATAAAAGTGTAGAGGAGTAGTGTGATGATGTCATGTCATGAGCGCTGTAAAGAGACACCTTCGAAAACAGGGGCGGTCCGAGTGAAGGGAAGGAGCTGCCCAAGGGGTACTTAAAGGGGACCCCGTAACAAAGGCGTGGTCGTTGTGGGAGCCCGGAGTGTGGATCAGCTGAAGGAGGTCTCTCCCGCTCGTGACCGGACGGTCTTGGCTGAACCCCCGTCCGGGGTCGACAAGTGGGAGAGCCCAAGGGATAGCCTACGTTTCGACGAGTAGAGCTTGGGGGTCCACGGGAAGGACCGAGTATAGCGAACACCTACCCCTGGTGTGAGCCGAGTGTTTAAACCGTGTTAATAAACGGCGAAAGCCCTTACAAGAAGTTCCGTCTCCGTGTGGTTCTGCGACGCAACAAAAGCAGTCATTGCAATCTACATTTTCGCCCCCATTCTACGTTTGGTAATCGATAAATACATTTTATAGCTACTGCAGTTACATTATCTGCATCTTATTTGGGTCATCTTAACTCCCTCTATTGCCACGAAGAAAAATCACTGAGTGTTGCTTGCGGTGTTTTTTGTGATGGCTTTGCTCAACGTTACCTGCGTGATAAGTCGATCTTTGCCGATCGGTCACTGCACTGACCTTTGTTGCTCGCCACTCGGTGATTTCTCCGCTTTTTTTATTCAGTTTGTCCATGTTAACAACTATTTATTTTTCATTATAAAAGGTTTTTGGTTTAGATTGTTTTTACAATAGAAAATAAAAATAAAAAAATCAATAATAGGATAACATATTTTATCAAGGGCTGTTGTATCAACATAGGCTAAACTTATTTGGCATCGATTTCTGCAGACCCTAGAGAGGGCACAGTTTTTACTTGCCATCATTTTGCGACCAATGCAGTAGAACCGATTTAGCACTTTTGGAGTTGATCAGTTTCGTGAAATCACGTTGTGAATAGTTTTACACAGTCACAGCTACAGGGTGTCTAGACTTTCTGCCCTCTCTGGGCCCACGCACCACTCGCTCACTCACTGTCAACCCTCAGCACTTTTGACGCACGTGCATTTGACATTCATCCTCGTCTGTTACCTGTCGGTACTATAATCACCCTATAATATGTTTAATGTTTCTGTAATTGAATTCTATAATTGTACTTTGATGAATTTATAAATGATCTGTCCTAGCCGATTTGTGTTGCAGGGGATTGAATATTTATCTTTCGTTTAACATGTATTTATGGTTGTGCAATATTTTCGATCGCTCTCTTGTGATAGTTATTTTTGTTCTGATTTATATTTCTTCATTGCTGTTATTTACTTTATTGTTGCTATTCTAATGTTAGTGATCCAGGTCACGCTTGCAAATGAGACTCATCCCAGCCTCTTTAGTTCCACCTGTTCAAACAAAAGAAACTTGAACACGCAGTCACTGCCCGCCACCAAGCACACACCCAACATATTTTTTTCCAAATAAAAAACCCCACCATAAAAACGCTCTGTAACATGAATTAAAATGTCAAGGGAAAAAGATGTCAAGAAAATACTTAACCTCCTTTTTTGTTTATTAATCCAAATCATTACACAATGTGCAGGGAGATCTGTTCTTGGCCCCATTCTCTTGTCAGCGTATGTGTCTCATGCGTCTCCAGTAGCCAGGCTCAAGAGTGTCAGTGTAAACGTGCATCAGTACGCTGATGATACCCAGCTCCACATCTCCTTTGAAAACTTCTGATACGGACATAATAACATTGCTGTCAGAATGTGCATCAGCTCCACAACACTGGCTGATGCTAAACTACCTGCAAATCAACCCCTCAAACTCTGAGGCCATGATCCTTGCACCTCATCATTGTGGTGGGTAGTTGCATAACACCACAGCAATCTCAAGTTGCTGGGTATTACACTCAACAAAGATCTCGCCTTTGAATCAGATATCAGTGAGTTAATCCGGATTTGCACTTAACACACCCAACCTCGACGTCACATCAGAAATTGCAAAGATAAGGGTGTCACAAATACTTTCGTGTATAGTCTTGGTGCCACATGCCTTTACTTTTGTAACTCGCCTCAGCAAACGTCTCCAGTGTCTCCAAAACACCCTCCTCGCCAGAGTCCTTTGCCCGGCCCCATCTCTTTTGAGCTCCTCAAACCTTTTGAAAGAGCTCCACTGGTCACCAGTGCATAAGAGAGTTGAGTTCAAGGTCGCAGCAAAGACAGCCGGTCAACCAACCTACCTAAGTGATACCAATCGCCCATATGCACCTTTACGACACCTACGCTCATCTGATATGAACCTGCTGTGTACAAAATGTACTTTACTTATGACAATGGAAATGGAGGTTTCCATCGGGAACAGTCTGCCCACTGAAGTCCACTCAGCTGTGACAATCGGTTCTTTTAAGACCGGAATGAATACATTCATTTTCTTTTTTGTTTGGTTTAACTTAGTTAAATATTTCTCAAATTCTTGCTGAATATGGCGTGTTACCAATCTTGGACTGATTAATCGACAGCAAAACCTGTGGTGTTTTAGGAATGAAATGGTAGTTCTGCAGAGCACAGGGAGAAAACTACTAGGATAGACGATCGGTTTCAACAACCAGAGTCTGTCATGCACTGTGGGTACAACTACCTGTGGGGAGTGGTAGTGTCGTGGTTAGCGCGCTGCGCTATGAACCCAGTGACCCAAGTTTGATTTCCACTCACGGCCAACAACAGTAAAGGTTATTTGAATTGCTTTTGGGCCTCCCCGAGGTCGACTTAACCGGGTGTGGTGAGTAAACATCGCCACTGTGGAGACAAAGGCAGCCAGGGCGTGGTCCTGGCCACCCACTCGCTCATGTGCTGTTGTACCGGCCTTCATAGGTGCTCGCTAACAGCACCTGCCCCAACAGCCTGTTAAGGCTATATGGGGGATTTTTGTCTTTGGTAAGCAACCACTGCCTTCTGATTAAGTGGAATATTTTTTTAAACAGCTGCGGTTGTTTATGCAGAATTTCAATATTTATATATTGTTTACAGGTGACTAAAAACAGCTAATTTTTTTGCTTTGATTTCATTTTGGTGCCACTTGCTAATGATCTGGTTTTTATTCTTTGCCATTTGTTGCCTTTTAGCAATCTCTTACTTTTTTACATTATGGTAAATATTGTGAAAGCTTATCTTTCTTATTCTTGGTTCTTTTCTACGTGACTTTACTGAAAGAACCAAGAATATGAATTCCTGCAGTCACGAAAGATTTAAATCAAAACTTTCTTGATTAATAATTTCATACTTTTGGGTTAGATTGTGTGCATATAATGCCAACTTTCAGCTTTACCCCCTTGCCACCTGACAAAGCCAATCAAAAATCAAGTTGCCACGTGGGCATATGTATTTTTTCTTGTGGTGTTAATGAATTGACTGGCTTTTAATCAATTAAAATGGGTGGCATGTCTACACTCATGCTGTGTAACGTAGCTGTGTTGGCACGCTACGGCCTGGATGGAGGAAAGAAGGAGAACTTCGGGCTTAATTCCAACCGGCTGATGGAGTTTGGAGACAGCAAGCCGTTCAGAGACCCAAAACTCAACAAGATGTGGGAGAAGGTGAGTGCATTGGTGGACGGCGAGTGAGATTGGTTTTGCCCTCGGAATGTGGAGTTTTCCACCATTAGTTCAATCCATTCACCACAAACTGACTTCGTTGCTGCATCTCCTCAATGGATGTCCTCGTCCGTTTTGGGCATGTTAATCACATCACGCCACCTATTTGGTTTGCGAAAGCCAACGTGTTAAATTGTTTAATTCTGTCGATAAATGCTAACTGTGAGTGAACTCTTGAATGGGATAAAAAAAAAATTGGTGAAAATTCCTCCGCGTAATCATACACACCTGTTACATTTAGGGCATTACGTTTGTATGTGGCACCCACTAGGCACGTGCCTCTGGGAGGTTTGAAAATGCCGGCGACTTGCAGCGCTTAGAGCGAGATTTCCATCTCCATGATGAGCGAATACAAGAGTACGAGGCGATGGTCATCCAATCGACAGGTACGTACACACCCATGTACAGAGCATGACAATTACATACTCGACATATTGTCGCCATGGTCAATCCACTGCTGGATGAAGGCCTCCAAAAATCGCCACCTCTCGCGATCCTGCGATGTAATAATCCATCCAGCACCTGCACACGAGCTGATTCCATCGCTCCATCTCCTCAGTAGATGGGCCATTGGATGCCTCAATTCCTTGGTTGCGTTATTATTTTTGATAGGCGTCCATTGTCTCTTGTTAGCATGTCCTGCGGAGGCCCCACTCGCCTCTATTAATAATGTATTTGTTGACCTGCAATAGCCTGTCTTCTCCATGTGAACGCAAGATGAAAAGTTTGTGCAGTATTTTTAAGGAGGTTATTTATGTGTTGCTGTGCGAGGCAGGACTGCTAAATCTGGCAAATCGTCTGTAGCTGTGCCTGTTTGAGATGCATCTGTTACAGGATGGATCTACTGCACACAGGGTGATGTGGTAATGCCTGTAAATGATCGATATTTAATAAATAACATAATATCTGTTCCTCCACAGCATGGTCTGTACACGGCCTTCTGGGAGTGAATATCTTTACCGGGATTGGTGCAATACAATCTCTTGACTGGTTTTGACTTTCAGTGTTTCATGAATAGTCAGGCTAAACCAATAATAGTTCTAACTGTCAGAGAGAGATATATATATCCTGTGTAGGCAAGGACCCTTTCCAAACGTATTCCAATACATCAGCATTGGTTCACTCCGAGAAGGTCATGTGGCTGATAGGATGTGTAAAAATATTTATATTTTTGTGTGGAGGATGAGATATGGGAAGGATACGTATTGCCTGCTGATTCATGGTTTAATTCAAGTGATAATTTACAGGCACCATCACCACATCAAACGGTGTTAAGGTTTCTGCCACACCCCATGTTCAGTACATCCACCCGAAACTAAACTATTTTTTATTCTACCAGGTAAGGCCCACTGAGCTAGATTGAGAACTAATTTCTTTACAAATGCTTTTTGTGTTTAGTTGTTCTTCCTCTACACCTCCAATTATGCCGGTTGGCTACGTTCGTTCCAAAAGAAGTTCGGCATACGTAGTTCTTTTTCAGAAGTGACCTGGCCACAAATGATAGCTCAACGAAGTGGCTTATCCCTTTGTAAATTTCTAGCAGTAGCCAAATACTCTAAACGCATGATTCTAAATGTGGAGGGAAAATCCAGAGGACCCGGAGAAAAATCCACGTGACTATGGGGAGAACACGCAAACTCCAAATGTAAAAACATTATGGTCGGGATCGAGCCCATGATCTCCTGCATATCAGGCGAGGTAGTTAACATCTCGCCACTGCGGCACCCTGTAGCGAATGCTTCTCAAAATAGACGCAGCTACAAACAACTCTCCAAATATATAAAGACTTTTAGGAGTGTCCTAAAAACCTTTCCTAGTCCGACAATGTTGCTACGTGTAATCCCAGTTGAGTATGTTCAGGTAATTATTGAGCATTGGAATGTTTGGCCAATACCCGTTGCATGGTTTATTTAGCTGTATGAAAAAAATGCAGAATGTGGAGGAAACTGACGCAGAACAGGGGGAGAAAATAGAAACTCCACTCACTCACTCTCCCACTTTGTAGAATGTATGTATGTTGAACTTCTTTTGCACCGCGTATGTAGCCTTCAGTGCTAATTGGGGGTGTGGGGGGAGGACAACAAACTAAACACAAAAAGGAGTTGTAAAAAAATACCTTTGAATCTAGATTTAAAATTACAAAACTCAATTGGCTTCCTAATATTGGAAGGAAGAGCGTTCCAGACGGCCGCAGAAGCACATATGAAAGCGCGTTATGCAGTGACTGTCTTTGTTTGATGGTTAGCCAAAAGCCACTGTGAGGGTGACCAGAGTTTGCGTGATGGTTCGTGCTCCTGACAAGATCATCAAGGTATTGTCGTTTATTTGTGGCAAGCACTTTGTGTGTAATGAGTGCTACTTTATAATGTTTCGTTTGGAAACTGGAAGCCAATGCAGCTCAGCGAGCACTGGACGGACAAATGGGGAGAACATACAAACTTCACTCACTCATGCACCCTCCTTCGACTCTCTGTAGAATGGCATGCACTCTCACTCTGTTAATGGAGAGAACAAACTCCACTCACATTCACTCTCGCTTTGTAGAATGGGGAGAATAATTAAACTCCACTCACACTCACTCGGTTATGCACACTCACTTTCACTCACTCTCTAAAATTGGGAAAACAAACTCCACAGTCACTCACTCATGCACACTCTCTCTTTCTCACTTGATAAATGAGGAGACCAAACAAACTCCACTCACACTAATGCACACTCACTCTCACTAACTATCTCAATATTTCGAGTGGAGAGAACAAGCAAGCTCCACTCTCACTCATGCATACTAACTATCTTTTGCTTTGTAGAATGGGGAAAACATACAAACTCCATGCAGAAATGTGCCCAAGTCAAGAACCGAACCCAGGCCCTTCTTGCTGTAAGGCACTGGGTGTTATGAATGAACCACCCTGTCACCCTAATGAGGCTCCTATCCTGGTCTATTGAGTTATTACGTGGTTAAAAAAATAAACTTGAAACTTGAAAATGTTCTGAGTTGACACAGGAAAGTAATTCATGAACTCCAAGTAAACACATTCCCGAGGCTGTTCTCGGTCAACACAAATTGCCATGTTGTTGCCTCAGGGTATATATAAACAAAAAAACGAATGTACATCAATGGCCATGTGCATGATTATCATAACATAAATAGAGTTATTTCCTACACAAATGAGCATTGATACAGTGCTCATTCCTGTTTACAGCCCTGAGCCAGTGGTGAAAATTCCACATTCCTTTGACAGTGGCAAGTGTATCAGGAGGATAACCACTTGTTGACTTTCTGCACAACGTGGTACTCACTTTATTGATCCTGCAGAGATGTTTGGCCGAGTCGACCGTCAACCGGGATGTGACCTGGCAACCTTCTGATTGGGAGCTGCTCGCTATATCGCTGAGCCAGCTCGTCTGGTCGTCATAATAAAAGGCACCCATTCTTGTCATTCTTTCAGGACACAACATGAACACAGTTGATGGAGCCGGAATCCCAGATAAGCAGCTGAAGGAAGTGAGAAGTAAACTGCATAACTCCTTGCAGCGCCTGCGAGAGTTGATGAGCATGGGATACGTGAACAGCGGTAATGCACAGTGCTGGATAGAGGCGCACATTAGGCGAGGCTGTCTCATGAGTTACAAGATAACTAAGCCGACAAATCTCTTCCATATCTGTCCTTCTACATGAAACATACAAAGTATGTTTTACACACCCTGCCAGCCACACTGCCTTTTGGAAGTACATAATTTCAGTAGCATTGGTTCAACGCAAATTCTGGACTGGTTTAGACATTTAATGTCTCATCAGCAGAATCAGGCTTCCTTGAACCAATGCTGGTAAACTGCTGGATGTGATAGGCAAGGACCCTTTCAAATATGGGTTCTAGGTCGACTCAACTAATTATCACGCAACACAATATAATCACGAGCATCATGGAGCATCGAAGATTGTGCTTCATTAATGCCTTCATTAAACATAATTTTCAGGTTTGTTAACGGTAGAGGTCATCTAAAGCTGTAATGTATAGGGATACAATCCAATTGTCGGTAAGAGATTTGCAGTAAAAGTGCCATGTGCTTGTCTTGCTCTAGTTTTGTTTGGCCGGGTGGCTTAGTGGTAGTGTGAGGGGCTCACAATCGGGAAGGTCGCGAGTTCACATTCTGGTTGAGGGTTGACTCAGCCCATCATCCTTTTGGGGTCAATGGAACAAGTTCCACTTTGTTGGGAAGTAAAAAATGATTGATCCATAGGTAGTCTCTCCCCCGTCATAGGAATATGGAATTTCCCCCACTGCCTCAAGGCTGTGAACAGGATAAGAGCACCACCTCAATGCTCATTTGAGCTGGAAATCACTTAGACTTTTTTTTATATCAGTCTTAAACATCTGGTGATAGGTCGTGTTATAATTTGTCTCGTTTAAAACTATATCTGAAAGGTAACTTCCCCTTTCAGCACTGCATAGCTATGAAGTATAAAGTGCTGGATAACTCAAAATACATTAAATATTGACAGGGGACACTAATGATCTTTCCTGAGTGTTGACGCTGCAAATTGCACTTTGCAAATCAGGAACAGCTGGCGTAGAACTGGATTATGTTGCTCTAACAATATTTCCACATTGTTCTATATCTCGTGTTTGCACAGAGTTCACCGAGCCTGTTGCAATGGAACTGTGGGAAATGGCCCAACAAGCAAACCTCTCTGAGAAAGAGCTGCACGATGTAAAGGTACGTGGCTCAAGTTCATTTTGTTTAACGAGGACATAACTCGAGAGACTAGGTCAGCCTCATTTGCAAGAACATGTTTTTGTGTTTAGTTTGTTGTCCTTTCCCCGCACCTCCAATTAGAACGGTTGGCTATGTATGGTGCAAAGGAAGTTCAACATAATGCTGACCTGGGTCACCACAATGACAAAAGCAGTCGCACAAAAACAAGTACAATTAAGCAAATAAAAATTGGAGCTAAAACAACCACGTGACAGAAGAACTTGCACGCGTCTCTATACATCTTTGCGCTTTCTTCCATTGTCTTCTCTTGTGTTTTTCATAAATGACCATGTTTCTGAACCGTATGTTGTAGCAGGTGTTATGTGCCGATTAATAACTTATTTATCTTGGTGTATGGAGTCAAGGTATGGAGGTGGTCATGAAGGTTTGTTACAGTTTTTAAGGGAGTGTCCTCAATGTTTTTTCGTGGCCCAAAGTAGGCTTTGTTCACATAATTAAGTCGGCAAGCTACGATTTAATTTGTGTTTGAATGTTTACGAATAGTTTAGAATGTTGGCTTGTGTTAAAAGACACCGTGTCTGACATGTTTGCGTACGATCTCGTTCGTGTCCAAGTGTAAGCATTGTCTTTTGAATCCCCAGGAGGAACTCTTGACGTTGGAGCGAATCTCAGAAAAACACAGCCATTTCCGCGAACAGCTGCAGGTGTCCCACGAGAAACTTCAGCACGCCAAGGCGACGTATGACGATGTACCCTTTGACAAGACGGCACAGGACAGTAAACGGGAAAACGTAAAACTATCGCACGATGTGGATCGTCTTGGTGAAACGCAACGCAGGCATAATGAGTTGACGGACAAGACACGCTCGCTAGCGTACAAGGTGAGAATTTGTTTACATAGGTTACAATTATTTCCACTGAATGTGTTGGCTACAGGGTCATGGATAAATATCATTATATTCTCCACAACGATGTGACTGCGACGACGATCTGTAACTTGTGTCTTTATTATTTATTCATTCCTTTACAGCTGGACAGCTCCACGCTCTTCACTCTGACACGGCTGCACTCCCGTTCCCGCGCGGTTAGATGTTCTCGCTCGCACCAGCTCGCTCACACCCTCTCCCGCTCCCGCGCGCCGCTGACAGGCGGCTCGCTGGGAGGAAGCCTCCGGCCCGCCACGTGGCCGCTGGCGTCCCGGAGGCGAGCGACGTGGTCCCTCTCCCTGACTCCACACACTGACCCCCAGCCCCTTCCGGCTTCCCCTTATATCCCCTGACCTACGTCACCAAGCCCCGCCTACAGCCATGCCCCTTCCCGACCCTTCTAGATGGTTACTCCCCAGGGCCTTTGAGCACCGCCCTTGAACTTCGGCTCATCCCTCTGATTGGTTGATGGCCCAGGCGGCGGAGCCTATCCCACCGATCGTCGGTGAACTCTCGTATTACACATGTACACCTGGCCTGTAAGGTGAATGGATACTCGGATCGTACTATCCGCCAAGCTGTTTCTCCTACCGTGGAGAAACAATCCCCTGAGAATTCGATCAAAATCATTATGTTGCCAAACATAGCAGGCGTTACGAAAAAGATTTCCAAAATTCTAAACAAACACAAGACCCAGGTCCGATTCAGTACAGTACACAAAATCCGTGATCTGATCCCATCCGTAAAGGATGTCATTCCTGACTTACAATACCCTGGTGTCTACAAACTGAGTTGCATCTGTGGTGATTGTTATATCGGGGAAATGAAACGACATTTCTGACCGCATTCTCGAGCACAAGTCAGATTTGAAACACGGTAGGACGCATTCTTCGGCCGTAGCTGACCACTGTTAGCTGCACACAACTAGCTGCCTTGCAGTAAACTGCAAGGCAGCTAGTTTATATTCATATCCATATTCCCAGTCTTTCACTCCCAGCTTTACACACTACCATCACTAAGAAATGTGACTCCAAGCCCTGCTTACTCCCATCACTTGGAAATCTGCTGCGCGTTGTTTTGAGCGTGCAAGCTTAGCTCCGTAGCAACTCTAATTTACTCCCCTGCAGCATAACAAATTATTTCATTAATCGGCTTAATTTAACTTTCTTATCAACCAGTTCAACTTCTGCCCCCTGCATCACATGTGCACCTCTCAGCCCACACCCCGCCCCCACACTCACCCTGGCCCCCCCTCTCCCCCCCGCAGCTGTATAATCCTTCGTCACAGCCATTTATTAGGCACACTTAAGCAGTACTTCACTTCTCTTACACTTACCCTTATCTTAACTATTAATCAGCTAATCCCCCCCCCCACTCCTTGGTTCCTCCCCCCCCCTCTTACGCTATATAATCACAGTTCTCTAAACAGCTCTCTTTATTCACTACAGTAATTTTGCTGTGGCGGTTCCACCTGAAGACGGAGGCTTGTGTTGCTTCCGAAACGTCGTGATTTAATTTAGTTGTTTTCATTTTAATTTATTTAGTTTTTTACCTGTTTTTTACTTTACTGAAAAAAACAAAAAGTATACTCCCAGATAGCCTGTTGGCTGATGGGATGTGTCAAATATATATATTTTTTTACATGGAGGGACAAATATGTGAAGGAGGTGAATTCTGTATTTATTTTGTTATTCACAACGATGCTAATGATTGCCGTTCTTTATGGATCGTTTAAAGAGTCTGCAATGTATGTATTATACTTCCCATGGTGACATCTGTGTGCGATCCATGTTTATGTAATGATCCTTCGGAGACGGCTTCGGAATCGGTCCTCTTTATTTTCAACTCCACGATACACTTATTTCGCTCACGCTCCGTTGTTGGCAGACAACAGAGAGCGGGCAGACTTCACACCAGCTCCCACCGCGCACGTGGCACCCGGAGCCCCGTTCGCGCGTGGCTCTCGCCCTGTTCGTTTCCCAGTCTGCTCTCGATCATTCTCTCTCTCTTTTAATCCCTTCGTCATGTGGTCCCCCCAGCCAATCCTCCATGGACAGCCTCGACCGTTCTCGATGGTTCCCTGTCACTCCCGGGACCACGCTCGTCACGTGGTCCCCCCAGCCAATCCTCCATGGACAGCCTCGACCGTTCTCGATGGTTCCCTGTCACTCCCGGGACCACGCCTCTCATCCGGATCCCCATTAGCTGGGGCCCCGAATGGCTGGGCCAGTCACTCCTGATGACATGCCGTGATCACGCCGGACCCACGCTCCCTATCTCAACCCTTATTGGCTACAAAGTAGGACCGGCAAGCCAATCCCCACGTGAACCCTCTATGGCTGTTATTACATTTACAAGGCACGAGTTATTCACCCATGGCCTTGCAGCCATTTTCTCTCCCACGTTACAACTTTATCATTGCCTGCATTGTCTCTCCAGTGGCACTTTATGAGGCAAATGAGCTGTAAGGCTTTTGTGTTAGAGAAATATAACCTGCTCAAAGGAATTTTTTAAATGAGCTTTTTAACTACAAATGATTTTACTTGAAGAGGCAGCTTGAGCTTAGTTTTTTATATATTTATTTTCATGTTATTGTTAACGAATATCTTCAATCGAAGATATTTTTTTATCTCTGCAAATTTCAAGTACAGATGAAAACATTAAACTCGTTTAAAGCATTACATTGTGAAATGCTTTATCCACTCACCCTCTCCCTGCTCTGAAGGGCCAATGACTATGACATTTACCTCGTAGTTTTTGCTGCAATAGTGCAGCATTAACATCACATCAAGTGACCAAGCGGAAGACCAAAGAGCAGACGGTGGGAGACTGGGATGTAACCGTCTTCCTCTTTACAGCAGCTGCGAGATCTAGCGGAGGGGTAGAGAACTTTGGCAGCGGGGTGTGGTGATGGTTGCCTTGAATGGCGTTGGCCACAATGACGTCTTCAACTTAGACAGCGATGATGAGATTTTTCAGTCTTGGAAGTGGCTTTAGCAGTGTGGCAGCCGAGGAATGGACCGTGTCCAAGAGGATGTCCGTCGAGTATATGGAGCGATGAGAGCAGCTTGCGTACCGGTCGGTGCTGGGTGGATTGTTGCATCGCAGGATCGTGAGAGGTGGCGGCCACGGCAGCATTAGGAGGCCTTCATCCAGCAGTGGATCGATTGTGGCGGATGATAGTTATCTAAGTGCTGAATATGAAAGTTCAATGCTTAATGCATTCAAAGTAATGATCATAATGTTCAGGAATGGCCGTAGAGGTTCTGATGAGAACGTACGCAGCACATGCAATGCTGATCGCTGGTGGTCACGGTGCGTGTTCTGTGGCACTGTGTGGTTACAGGTCAAGAAGTTGCACCAGGATCTTTCCACTCGGCTCTCCCGGCCGATTAATCGACAGCACAATGAACTTTGACAAATGCACACATGGTACACATGGGCTTGGTTTAGTCAATGTACGTATGTGATAGTTGTAATAGTGTTGTGATTCAAATTACAGAGCAGTTAATAATGTTTTTTTTATAATTCAAGTTGCTTTTTCCTTAAAATCACAATTTTTGCACGGTGTCCTCGATGCATAATTTTCTTGATTAAAGTAAACATGTTCACTTTGCAAACACAAAGTTTGGTTGATGTCTTTGTTCAAATCATGACATAAAAAGTACGAGGGTTTTTCAGAGAACATGTTTGCCATCACCTTGACAGACTTTCTCTGCATGGTCACCTCTACTGAACTCTACTTCTTACAACCGCCTACAAACTAATTAACGATAAACTATATTTTTTTATTCTACCAAGTAAGGACCACTGAGCTATATAGCTCTTTTTCAGAAGTGACCTGACCACAAATGATAGCTTAACGAAATGGCGTTTCGTTCTGGGGAATTTATAGCAGCCAAATAGTCTAAAACACGTGTTTCTAAATGTTGAGTTAAAAACTAAGCGACCATGGAGAGAACATGCAAACTGCAATTATACAGGCGTCGGATCGGGATTGAACCCACGACCTGTATACCAGATGAGGTAACACCTCGCCACCGCGGTGCCCATGACCGTCAAGGTCACCATCGGCACAGACGTCTTATGGTTGGTCCTTGGACCGTAATGGCACCACTCTCTTCACAGCCTCCCATTTGGAGCTTCTATTACATGCCCAGAGAGATGGAAATCTGAAGTGGCTGAGTCTGGATTCTTCCGAATGTCCCAGATCATTCCAGCCAAGCTTTCTCAATGTTCCCGTACGGTATGTGAGTGTCCATGGGGGGCGGGGGTGCACTTTGGGTGTCTCGCGTTGCCGGCCACACGCTCGGATATCCGCCATTAAAAGGGAAACCATGTTGCGCGTGAATTTCGCCGTCTAGAAGTGCTCCGCATGCTGCTGGAAAACCAGCTTTACCGGCAGCCACTCAAGCAGCACCTATGCACTAGACTCGGCAATGTACGCATTCAAGGTTCAGCTCCCTAGTCCTGGAACATTGTTATAAGTTATATCAGTCACGACCAGTTATATATTTTCACATGGATTAACATAACGGTTAACCAGCATCGGTTCATGCAAGCCCGAATGCTGATGAGACATGTCAAAATTGACCCTATTTTGCTTCTGTTGAACCAATGCCGGTGAAATTACGTACTGTGGTCGATGGTATGTGTAATTTTTGTATGCGGAAGGAACAGATATATTGTCTGCGTGTTTATTTTTTGTTACTTCTTTATCCACAATGACAGCAGATGCGTTTACGTTCATTAGCTATAGGACAGACGGAGGGGGTGAGACTTTCAGGCTAGTTGTTCGAGGTCGCTGCGCGTTCACTGTGCTGCTACTGCAGCAGCGGCATCTGGCGGAGAGGACTCGTGGGTAGCGAGGAGGTGTGGTGGTGGCATCATCGGCTTGTGCATTAGGAGTGCGCATGCTCCCTGAACCTGCAGAATTGGGTGTTTGTAAACTGCACCCTCCGATTAGCACGGTCGGCTAAGTACGGCGCGAAAGAGGTTCAGCGTACACACATTGTTTGGTGATGTTGAAGTTGGGGATGCTACTGATGTTAACGAGCATGAAGTTGGTGATGTTGATGATGAAGGTGATAATGCTGACGCTGATTATATCGGCGATGCATTTGAAGTTGATGGTGATGTAGATGGTGTTAATGGGGGTTGACAGGGACGCAAGTCAGTGTGGCATTGATGATGAAGACGTGATGTTTGTTGGAGTTGCGATTGTTACGTTTAGGTATTGATGTTGGCAAGGGTGATGATGATGGTGATGATGAGGCAATGCAGATATTGATGGTGACAATTTTGGAATTGTTAATGATGGGGATGATGTTGATGACAATGTTGATGTAGATGGAATTTGTGATGATGGTCATGACAATGATGGTGATGCTGAGCTGGGTAGATGATGATCGCATTGCCTTTGGCGACGATGCAGTCTAAGTAGGAATGTGTTTTCCTGCCACTTTATACTGGTGCGTTTAAGTGGCAATGTGGCTGCTATGGCTGTAGCTGTTAATTTTATTGCATTTCAGTTCTAGGGAGATTTACTTTTTTGGTGTGGGCTTGGGGTAAATAGACGTCCGGGCCAGTCGTGGGAGCTCCCGCGCAGCGCTGACTTCTTTTGCCCACTTGAGATTCGTGCCCGGGCGGAGGGAGGCAGGTGCTCGTGTTCAAGTGCAGGAGGTACCCACAGCTCCCCCTGGGCTGGGATGCCGATGTGGAGTGGATGTAGACAGCCCCAGCAGAGGCTGGGTTGCAGCTCCTACCACCCAGCTGCTTTTGATAGTCAAATATTGGAGAGAGCTGCGATCTCGGTGACCTTTGTAACGGTCGAATCATTTAAATGACAAACGTATAATTGAAACACGTTCATTGCGTCACAGTATACGTTTCAATTACACTTAGCGGAATACATTATATTAATAATGATGTACAACATAAAACGTTCAGTGATTTGCTGCTCAAACGAGCCAAGAGTTTGTACTCATCTGAGATCAGTGGGGGAAATTCCGCGTTGCGAGACTCCGTTTATTTCCTCCACAAAATGGTACCCAATTTAAGACCCTGGAGGCCTGAGCGTTGATGGGCTTCGTCAATCCCAAACCAGAATGTGAGCTCGCACGTCCCGATTAGCCGTTTGCTCCGTGGCTTAGCCACCTGGTCCTTTGGTCAATTCACTACTAGATGAAAGCCTTCCCCAGCGATGACGGTCACGATCATACTTCACCACGCCGCTCAGTGCGGGTGGGTGAAGAGGGATGCCCGGGATCGGTTCGGAGGTTGAATACACCACTGATGATGGCCATGGCTGGGGATCGAACTCTGGTTACCTGTTTCATAGTGCAGTGCGCTCACCGCTGTGCCACCACCCCGCTCCTATGATAACACTCACCCTTACGGTTGCGTGAGTTTTTATACAGACATCTGTGTTCATTTATGCGAAAGGCAGCAGCAGGCAGCTGATGCAATCCGAGACGGGCGTTGGTGTTTGGCGGAGGCTACGTCACGGAAACACAACAGGATGCAAATTAGCGTCTGGCTCCCAAGATCCAATAAATCGATACAGTCGCATTCATTTTGGTTTATTGTGGTTTGCGCAAAAGCAGATGAAGACAAACAATTAAAATAATGCTACGTTACCAGATGTATTAATTAGCTTTAACGTTGCCGCGCACGTCCAATTGTAGTATCCACGTAGATGATATATTTGAGTTATTTCTGTAGGGAGCAACACTTATCTATTATCAGTTCAAAATGACTCGTTTATTATGCGTAGCATGGTGGTCGTGAGATCGTAACCGCAATTCTCGCTTGGAAGATTAGATACGGGCGCCGTGTATGCACATGCTCGGGGCACTTGTCTGTAGATATGTCGCTGGCGCGTAGGTATGGCAGTGGTTTGTAGGTATGGCACTGGGCTGTAGGTATGGCACTGGTCTGTAGGTATGCCAATGTCATGCCTACGGAAATGCTGAGAGATTCTTGGTTGTCTTGCAAGTAGCTGGAAGGTATCTACCTACTTTTATTTTTAAACCACAGGTTTATGTCAATCCACTGCTGGATGACGGTCTCCCCCACCCTGTGCAAGTCTTGGGGTGTGTTCGACCATACTTCACCACGCTGATCATGGCAGGCAGGTTTAGCCTTGACTCGCACACTGATCGAGTCACCGGGTTCCTAATGCAGGGTACCAACCACGGGGTATTTCTGCCATTCGAGGGCAGCAACGGAGTAATATGGTAACTTGTCCCACTCATTGTACCTTAAATGAGTGTGCAGACTTCAGTGATGTCACTGTGCTTTGTAATGAACTATAACGTCGAGGGCCCCCTTTGGCGGTGGTATGTGCACAAGCGCAGTCTTTCAAGTTACAGTAGTTTGTTTAATCAGGTGACAACTCGAGAGACCAGCAGTCTCATTTGCGGGAGTGACCTGGAGTAAAATGCCAGTGCCACATTTTGTCCAGAGCGCTGCCGTACGATGGACGACAAATGTATCAGGTTAACGTTTTGGGCAATGGTCCTTTGCCAGAGAGGGAGAGAGCGGAGAGAGATTGACTGAACCTGCGTTGGAGATTGCGCTGCGCATTGTGGGTCCTGGAGCAATTTGGGTCATTGTCGGACAGCGAAAGAGCGCTGAGTTCATGTACTGTGTGTGTGCAATTGTCCACGTTTATAATGTTTAGATATTGAGAATGCTAAATTTAAAACCGCACAATAATCAAGTCTGTTGTGTTAATTAAAAACATAATTTCAAAGTATTATAAAAAAAAAATTGCACAGTGTGAGGCTCTGAGAAAACTGGGACATTTCAAAGTGTGAGGCAGTGGCCCAGCTATTGACAAATGTAGACAACACCACGCCATCATGAACATCGTTGTGCAGGATATCAGCAACAAAATAAGAAAGCAGACGTACGGATCCTCCCCGTGTGTCTTCTGATATTTATTTTAAAAAGTACACATCTCATCAGCCACATGTCCTTCTGAAATACACTGCCAGAAGTCCGTGTGGCTGATGGGATGTGTAACATTCTTAGTGTATGTGGAGAGACAAATATGGGAAGCATATGCTCTGCTCGTTCGTGTGATTGACAAACGCGATGTGTCCACTGTAGGGGAAAGCCACTGCCTTCGGGTCCAGAAGCGTCCAACCCTTCATCTTGTGTTGTGCTTCATATAATTTTGCATCGACCTTCGTCTCATATCTAACATACGGGGGTCCTTGCCAACGCTGTAAAGTCTGGCGGTTCACCAGCGTTGGCTCAAGCAAGCCTGACTGCTGAGAAGACACTCAATGTTGACGTCAGTCCAGAGTTTGCTTGTACTGTGTACACAAATGCTGTTAAATTATGCGCTCTCAACAATGCCGTGCTGTTGAAGGGACGTGTGAAACATACTCATACTTTTTTTTACGTGGAGCGACAGTTATGTAAAGGGGATATATTGTCTGCTTGATTCTGTTTTAACGTGTCTGTCTATATATTCATATCTCTTCTGCAGTGACAGGCCATGCTTGTATAATTTGTATATGACATTAATGCACAGGTGCCTTTAGATCTTGTGTAAGAGCCTCCTTGTCTCACTCCTTATTTGTATTTTTTTTGCTTTCTTAAGAAAACACATCTGTGTAACTGGTCCATCTCAACAAATGGGTGTGTTTTATATATATGTAACTTAAGCATATTTCTAATTTAAGAATTACAGTATTGGTTTGTAATAGCTCGGATAATTGCATCAGTTTCCACTGACGCAAGTGTCTTCAGATTTTACAGAAGCTGGGCTCCTCTCTGACTGACCTCTCACAACCTCCACACTCCTCGTGGCACTGCTGTACTCGGGTTATTATTTTTCTTATAACAATCAAAAACTCCGGCTCTATTCCACTCTGCATAGGCCGAGTGAATTCGTACACAATGAGCAATTAGGCGCTGCTGATATCGTGCTTACAGCCCTCGAATCAGTGGTCGGAACTCCAGCGTCCTAAGGCAGGGTTGAGTCTACCCATAAGAAAACTACTGTTGACTTCCCCACAGCGCGGTATGAATTTTATTGACCCCAGTGTGATGATTGGCCGAGAACTCCCAACCAGGATTCGAACTCACAATTTCCCGATTGAGAGCTGCCCGATCCACCAGGCCGTGTGAACTGTCGGAATGGAAATATGTACGAACGTCATCGTTTCCCTTCCATTCTAAACCTATTTTACTTTGGCCAGTTAGGAGCACATCGGAATAAGCAGAAGTGTCACAAAGGTCGCTGTTTTTTTAGTCAGAAATAGATAAAACAGTACCGCTTTTTTGCAATCGGTTACAAAATTATGGCACACTGATCAGTCCTGGCTGCAAGGGTGTTGAGGTGTGGTGATGGATGTGGGTGGAAATGTGAACACCCTTTTCACATTTGCACAGGGATATCCCACTTTTATGCTAAGCTGTAGATTCTTTATAACTTCACTCATATATCCGTGTATTTAAATATTCGAACAAAAGGCACAATATATCTGTTTCATGTGCCTGTAACTTGTAATGGTTCCATGATAAGCTTAAAGATAATATTCACAAGCAGAGACATGTGCTACAGGGAGTGTATTAATTAACATGATTTATGTTTGTGCAATTTTTTTTCAATGCCTCATGTGACAGTTGTGTTTTCCCTGATTTTTGTGCATTCCTTTATTTGATTCGTTTTGCTTTTGCCATCTTGGTAAACCAGGTCACTCATTGCAAATGACACTCATCCTGGTCTCTTGAGCTCTCACCCGGTTACACATATGAACTTGAACGCTTGGCTTGGATGCACTAGAGGCAACTCCAAAGTGAATTTCTCTTGAAACCTTGTGGACTGAAAGACGTCAAACCCTACAGCTAAAAATAATGGTACAGTCCTGCAATTGCTTACTTTCGCCACTGCTGGCGGAGCAGCCTCCACTCCAGGAAGCTCGAGAGATAGAAGGTGTTTTGACCTACTCTTCCACGCTGCCAAATCCACATCTAAGTGTGAAATGTAACGTACTCTTTGGTTATTTCGGTAAAGTCACGTAGGTAGAAAGCAAACCTTCGGGCTACCATCAAAGATTTGTCCATGAAGCCATGCAGATATATAAACAGAGACAATTTCATCCGAGAAGATGGGTATAAGCTGAGCAATCATTGGAAGGACGTTATTAACCAAGCAAAGTCGTAACTTGCTGTGGTGCTTCCATCCTTCCTGCCGTTTGGCTGTTATCTCCAACTCTCTGAGTTGCATTGCCCGGTTGGGTGCCTGCATTAACGGGCTGGGATCTCACTAACATGGCCACCTCTGCTCCCTTAGCCTCGATGGTTCTGGCTGCGTGATGGGCTGCGTGATGGGCTGTGTGTCTCACTTGTGCGACCACTGTTGCGGTGGTTCTCTTGCGTTGACGCGCTTGCCTCTTACAGCGCAGTTGGCAGCGCCGCAGCTTGTGTTACACATAGACATGACATTAACTTGCTAATCTCCCTAATCTCTCTGCCTAATCTCTCCCATCAACATAGTGCTAGTCTTCCATTAACACTGCTATTGTGCACATATGCGGGGACGATACTCTTATGCGGTGACGGAAGCTCATTTCATGCTCATCTCTCCCTAATCTTCCCCATTAACACAATTGACGTGCTTGCGTGTGGGGATGGAATTCCTTTCCAGCTCAGACCCCGCATGCTTGCCCTTCGCCAACATATATAACTTCTTGTTGTAACAGATCTCTCGCTGTGTTCTTCCTGGTTCAGCAGTTCTACTGCTGGGTTATTTTTTTCCGCCTGAGGACGACCGCTTGTGTTGCGATCGAAACGTCGTGATTTTTTTTTATTTTAATTTTCCACCTACGTGACTTTACCGAAAGAACGAAAGAGTATGGATTTCTGCAGTCACGAAAGCTTCAAATCAAGATTGAAATGTAACGTGGTTAATTATTTATTTTGGAAGAGGTACAACCTCACATTTAAGTGTCAAATTAACGTATTTTTTTATTTTGTTAAAATATTTCACCTGGAATATCGCTCGAGATGGGGAATGTGTCGTTTGCAAGCGTGTCCAGGTTCGTCGAGTGACCCTAGCGCACGCGGTTAGTCTTGCTCATGCACCAGCATTGTCTGCTGATGATCTGTGGAGTCGAAAATGGCCGTCATTACATAACGCCCTCGCAGGCTGAAGCGTGCCCCAGACCTGACGTGTGGCGTGGCTGAGGCAGCAGTGTCCTTGGCACGCAATGCGCGGGAGCTCTGCCAAGCGAATTTTCTTAAGGGACACAAAACTCACAACCCTAACAATTACGAAGCTTATTTATTGTCAATTCCAAGCCAAAGTGATATCAAATGGGCAACGGGGCAGTGCTCACCTGCTGCTTTACAGGCCTGTAGAGCCAGTGGTGGGCATTCTGCATTCCTATGATGGGGGTGAGTCTATCCGCGTCAACCACTGTTGATTTTCCAGCAAAGTGGCTGCTGCACATTGGAAAGAATCAAATCTCCAAGAGAACAACTGAACCATAGTTCTTTTACATTCAGTATTGGAATGCTTTTGGAACCCGTTTTGTTTTAATTTGGCCCCCGTTTTGTTTTAATTTGGCCCCCGTTTTGTTTTAATTTGGCCCCAAATTGTTGAAACGGAACCCAACACAGTGGGTGAGAGGATTACCACACTGCTGGTCTGCTAAATCCACGCTGACTCTTTCAGACTGGAAGGCAGCCTGGAGCTTGTCCTTTTGTGGAGTATCCGGTGATGCAGGCATTGGCCCAGTTACAGTCCTCAGCTGGCTCAAATGGGACTAAAATGTGCATTTAAACATAATCAAAGTTGTGATGTGGATGTTTAGTGAAGCGTGTGGACCATGGGTAGTTGATACATTGTGTGGTAGTAAGGTTATTTAATTGGAGACGAATGATGTATCAACATGTTTTAATTACATCCCTGAGAAAATGAGATCTCGCGATATGCCAAAGCGAGCACTGTAAGTTTGGCGTGCAGAAACCAGACGCCTACCCTGGCAAGTACACGCTTGCGTGCTCATACGCGCACACAGCCCCTACGGAAACATGTTGGGCTTCTCCATTTAGTTTAAACATTGAACTTAGTTCAACTTGAACAAATCATCTTCTTGGTTCTTTCGGTAAAGTCACGTAGAAGGGAAGTAATAAAATAATAAAAATAAAACATAATAAAATAATTCTCTTATTTTTATTATGGTTTTATTTTTATTATTGTATTACTTCCCTTCTACGTGACTTTACCGAAAGAACCAAGAAGATGAATCCCTGCAGTCACGAAAGCTTTAAATCGAAATTGAACAAATCAGTTAACCTTGAGACGGGGGGGGGGGGGGTGTCTTTTGGGGAGACACGGAGGAAGTTTATTGATTCCCGGGTGAGAGCCTGATGAGAGGTTACGACTTCTCGCGATGGGTTGCAAAAACGGGCACCCAAGTGAGGGACACAAAACATTGACACAGCTTTAAAGAGCAATTGTAGAACAAGGCGAGTTAAATAAAAACAAAGTAAGACAATAATCTCTTAAAACTCGTGCACATTTGCGCAGCCAATTATGAGCCATTATTTATTCTCACAACGACGAGTCTGACGATTTGTCAACTCGCCGTTGAGCTGAAACAATCACAGTTGGTGCGTTAAACGCGCGTCCGCACACCAATGCATGTGTTTGCTGTGTTGGGTGGTGGAGGATCATAACACCAATTTGGTCAGATAATCACGTGGCCTAACTCGAAATGATCTAATGATTAACGCTTGCTATTGTTAACGCTTGCTGTTTTATTTTACTCTGTACTCTCAGACGCCGTGAGGCTTTTCTTGACCTTAGCACAGCATTGGCGTTCTCCAAACACACGCGGCAGGCAAGGCGACCAGGCCTATTGTAAACAACCCTCCCCTGTGAAGCCCTCACAAAACATCGACCCGGGATGAAACCGCTGGTCCAAGCTTTGTTGATACCACAAGCGCTTGAGAAGCTTTAACAGCCTGCATGTTGGGCACAGCACATGTGCAACTGCCCACATAATAAAGTACACACACTAACACATGCAAAACAAAGTTTGGATAAATACTGATGAACAAAAAGAAAATGTTTTCTAAGAAAACATCAACAAAAATGAAATCCACTCTCAAACATCGCAGCACAACGCATTGCTTTGCTGTGCAAAGTTTATAATCGGTTACAGTGAAATATAAAAACAAGCTAAAATTTAAAGAATCCAGCCCAAACCAAATTAACTGTGCAACTCCTGAGGGCTCAGACTGTTCTGCCGAGAATCCGAGTGACCACGTGCTGGGAAATGTGACGGAGCGACCGTGTGAACAAAGCAGAAGCATTCATCCCCCGCTCTTTACCCCGAATCACCATTTCGTTTGGGATTCAATGTCAAGACCGATATGTCTTGCCTAAATCGTCACTTGGCCTAGAGCTCCATCACTAATTATCACCCGATTTTAATCCCACATTTTTAGCAAACATCAAAGAGAACAGATTTAATCCCAGTTTCTGCCTTTCGTTTAAAGCCACATTGCACCGATAAACCATGCAATTTGATTCAGACAATACCACAGCACCTATGTATGATGTATGTTGAACTGCTTTCGCACTGTACGTAGTCAACCGCGCGAATCGGAGGTGCATCTAAGTTTGTCGTGTGCGTGCTATGCATGTTTCGTTTGACATCTTGGTCAACCTTGCAAATGAGTTCTATCTAAAGGGATTTTCCACGTGAAATATTTGAACACAGTATAAAAACATGTTTTGCATGATTTCTCTTCGTCAGCATGGTTAAGGCTGTCAAACAACTAAACGTTTGATATGATTCAGGTATGCGTTCCAACAGCAATTACATTTTGTTCTCGCTTGGTGATGTTGGCAAGCAATGTGTTCAGGAGCGAGATGCCAATGTCATGCTGCTGCTCGCCACGACCAGAGGGCTTCAGCAGAGAGAGTTCATCTTCTTGGTTCTTTCGGTAAAGTCACGTAGAAGGGAACAAATAAAATAATAAAAATAAAACATAATAAAATCATTCTCACGACGTTTCGGCCACAACGCAAGCAGCCGTCCTCAGGTGAAGAACAGGTCTGTCAGGAAGACAGCGTCTGAATGAAACACCACCAGGCTTGGAGCGTATATTTAAGCTGGGTCGGAGGGGGAAGAGCGCCTTGACAAAATAATTTGCATATCAAGAGGAATTTAGCATATTTATGGGAAATGCAGATATGGGATTAGTCACTACTTGTTAAATGCGTAGGAGGTGGGCGGGGGGTTTCAAAGTCATTATGCCCGTGCATTATGCAGGATTAGCAGCATCAAAGGGAGGGGATAGGGGTAGCATTAATAAATGGAAGGAATGTTAATAGTATGTAGCTGCAGTAACTAAACCACTACATAGTATCATCAGTATACTAAATATACTCTCCAATAAGCTGAGCTACCAACAGTAAGTAATACATTACAATTCTATGTCGCAAAAAATATAATATGCTTCCAGCTAAACTTTTTCTCTTACATTTTATAATGTTATATTTTTATTATTTTATTATTTCCCTTTTACGTGACTTTACCAAAAGAACCAAGAAGATGAATCCCTGCAGTCACGAAAGCTTTAAATCAGAGAGAGTTCGTTCGTGCCAGTTTGCTGTACCTCCTCCATTGAGGGAGCGCAGACTATAGTGGGTTAGCTACATGGTCCATAGTTTGGGTTGCATGGCCACAATCACACTACTGAGGCTTTGCTTTAATTCATGAAGGAGATGTTAGTGTAATAAATCACTTCGACGACGATCTGTAGTTCGTGTCTATTTTATTATTTATTTCTCGACGGCTGGAGAGCTCCACATTCTCTTCACAGTAACACCGCTCCACCTCACTCCGCGGCGTAAGTTGTTGTTCTGCGCATGGTTCACTCACGCTCGCCGCTCGTGCGCGCCGCTGGCAGACGGCGCGCGAGGAGACATCCTCCGGCCCGCCACGTGTCTGCTGGTGTTCCGGAGGCGCGAGACGTGGTCCCGCTTCCAGACTCCACACACTGACCCCGAGCCCCTTCCTGCTTCCCCTTATAACCCCTCACCTACGTCACCAAGCCCCGCCTATAGCCACGCCCCCTTACGAACCTTCTCGGTGTTTACCCACAAGTACCCTTGAGCTCCGCTCTTTAAATTTTGCCCAATTGATGGCATCCATCCGATCCACCGATCGTCGGAATTAGCACCGTAATCCACTCCCCCAGCCAATATGTGCGGTCGGCCATCCTCGTGATCCGTAAATGCGGTAGTGGCATGAGCCAAAACTGTACCGGCCGGGACCAAAATGCCTTCCGGACCCCCGTTCAAAACTTGCAAAAATGGGGCCTGACCGGCCCCGACATTCGTCTGAGCAGCCGCAAGAGAAAAATTGTTGGTGGCGGTGTTGGACGGGGACAGCAGAACCCCTGCCGCCGCGTCACTTTCATTGAAACGTTTCCGATATCGTAATGGAATGAGCATTTGGGTGCCCGGAGGAATCTTCACTGTGAAATCTGCGAGCGCCTGCATAGCAACACACGGCAATGGACGATTCAACGGGGATGGCAAAAAATACATTTTCCACCCCTCTGGCAACTCCAGACAGCCCTGGTTAACAAGAATTTTAATTGACATTCTATGAAGAAAGTCAGTGCCCAACAAGCAGGGCACCGCCAAGGACCTCGAAATCAAAACCGTCCCCGACGCAGCTACATTACCAATGGCGACATGGACCTCTACCTGTCCGATGATGCCCATACTCCCCCCCATTGGCGGCAATGCATGCATCGAAAGCCGGCCGCACATATGAAGCAGGAATAGACAGGAGGTGGAAGATGACGTCGTATATGAGATTCGCCGATGTCTACCAAAATCCGAACGTCCACCCCCTGTATAGTACCCGGCACCCTGGAGGATGCCGCCGCAGCTGCCATAACGCGAAGTGCCAATTTTCTCCATTGAGTGATCGTACGCGGCGATCCCTTAACGGCACCGTGTGAATCGCGAACCGATGGAACATTACACGCTTGGGACGATGTATGAGGTGTCAATACATGCCGGGTGTCTGATGCGTGCCGACTTGCCTGGCCGGGGTCACGGTCCGTCCAAGGAGGCGACGCCAAAGACGAAGTCACAGGAGACGATGGGGGATGGAGACGACTCTGACAGTCACGCGCGAAGTGGCCCATCCGGCCACAGTTGAAGCACGTCGTCCCAGCCCGCCGGGCGGCCCCATCACCATCCCTGCGCAGCGTCGAGGCCCCATCCCGACGTCCCACCAGTCTCCACCGCGGCAACTAGCGGGGCGCAGCGGCGGCTTGGTCCTCGACTCCTGCGTCATGCGGAACGTGGACAACGTGAGATGGCACCCATCCAATTGGCTCACCATCCTTGGCAGGGTCCCCCGTCCAGGCGGCCATCTGCGCCCAACAATGCAAGTTATCCTTGGCATCGAGGCATCTAGCGGCCCACCGAGATGTTAACGGCTCGTGGCCGCACACCAGCAGCGAGATACCCATTTCATTGGACAACTCCAACATCCTCGCCAGGATCAGAGGGTCAAGCACGTCAGGCGTGGCATCGGGGTAAGCGGCCATTGCGAGCGCTAACAGGGCCCCCCGGTAGGCAAGGGGAGACTCGTTGGACCCCTGTTGATGGTGCATGAATTTCCTCTGAGCGTCGGACGGTGGTTCATAAACTTCCGCCATCTCGGCGAACGCGGCCTTCAACGTCTTTTTCTTTTCCGAGGGAATAGAGCGGAACACCGCCAACGATACGTCGTCGAGAAGAGTAAGCAAGGCGTCCAACGCCTCCTCCATCCACCGCACTGAACGGAAAGCGGATTCGAACCGCCAATTAAAAGCACTCCAGTCGCCGCCCGTGACAAATTCCTTTATATTCGGAAGGCGATGGCTGCATCCCGCACCGCTATCCTTAGGCGAAGCTGCCCCCGCCGTCCGCACGCCACGCGGCTCTGGCAAAATGGCGGGCTCTGACTGCGCCCCCGCAGCCACGCCCAAGATGGTGGCTTTGCGCCACGTGGCGGCCGCCATGACTGTGACGGCGGATGGTCCCTCCAAAAGCGCCATGGCGGCCGATTCTTGCACGAGGGGACCCTCCGAGATCCCCCA